TCCTTAGTGTTAATATTTGTGGACAGAATATGTTTGGTAAATACCTTGTGCTTCAAGGACATAGGTGCTCTAAAATAGGGTGTAATTATTAGCTTTTAATATTCTTGCTTTGCATAAAAAGGAACATCTAACAGCCATGTAACATTTAACACACCAGGATCCATGTATTCTTCACCAGTTTGACTGTTTTTGCTTGTCTGTCTTTATTTCTTTAGTTTATATTGCTTATGGAGGAAAAGGCTAGAGGCTACAATTTTTATGGGTTAAACTGACAGCCAGTGGTCAATGTTGAAGCTTTTGTTAATGCAGGCCATTGATGGGCAGGACATACATTCTTGGCATTTTGAGTGCACATAGATTGGGGCTGAGGATTGGGGACAGAATTTTACAAAATACACCAGGGTGTAGAAAAAATTTTGGTAAGCTAGCTCATACAGATATCAGAAATTAGTGAAAACACTGATCCTACATCATTTCATTCTGAGCTATTGACTTCATTTATCTAAATTTTTGATTTATTTAACATTCTATGCCCTCAGTCATTACCACCTCAATGTCTTTCATAAAAATTATTTTCCGAAAGGTATTTCCAAGTTTAACTAAACTTAAGTAAATATGAAAATTGAGGTTTGGTCTGCAAGAGAAGGATGAAGTAAATTCCAAGGGCCAAGGAGATCATTATTGATGGTTTGGGAGAACCTGGTTGCAAAAGGGCGTCATAAAAGAGATAACATCTATGGAACAGGCTATCGTTTGTCCAGAAAGGTTTGAAAACCGGAAGGAGGTTTTGAAAACCATTAGAAAGTTAATAGGAAGACAGCAGTTCTTGGTGGTTGAGGCTAATGTGGGTGTGTGACTGTGTTCATAGATAAACACTAACTTGTCCTGCTGGCGATAGAATCTTCATGAACCTGAGATTTCAGTCATTAGCAAAGAAAGATCCAAAAAGTGAGGAGGGAGAAAAAATAGGAATTATGAACACTGTTAGGACATACAGATTTAGGAGAGGTATATTGAAATTTTAAGTTGAAAAATAAGTTGTTTCAGTATTTCCCACTCCATAGATTTTGTGTAAGAATAAATTTTAAAGGATATAAGATTCATTGCCTTTGTTTTGAAGGAGTAGGAAAGTTAGAAACTATTTTATTTGCATTAATAAAAATATTATCTTGATATTTTTTTGGGCTGGCCCAGTGGTGAAGGGGTTAAGTTTGCGCGCTCTGCTTCGGAGGCCTGGGTTTCTCAGTTTGCGATCCTGGGCGCGGACCTACGCACTGCTCATCAAGCCATGCTGAGGCGGCATCCCACATAAAGCAACTAGAAGGATGTACAACTATGACATACAACTATCTACTGAGGCTTTGGGGAGAAAAAAGGAAAAAAAAAGGAGGAAGATTGGCAACAGATGTTAGCTCAGGGCCAATCTTCCTCAAAAAAAAATATATTATCTCGAAAAGAGAATAAGGAGACATACTTGTTTGTGTTAGGTATCTGCAGACATGTGAAATAGAAATCACTATGAGTATAGGTGAAATATCATGGCATGTGATTATAGACAGTATGAACACAGAATGTCTTTAATCTTTCGATATGTATTTAATAATAAGCAATTTGGGCCGGCCCCGTGGCTTAG